AAAATCAGGTTGAAGTATCCTACACAATTTATCGACGACTACCTTATTAACACTAGCATTATCAAAAATAAAAGACCGAATTTTAGTCTCGCAATTATATTCTCTAACAATACTGATAATAGCATTATATATATTATTAACATTATGAGGAAAATTAATAATTCTAAAAGTAATAATTTTATTATGCATGCACCAAAGTAGGTCTATATAGTGTGCCGTTGCAACTATATTTGCTCTTTTATTAACCCCTTCTCATATATCAGAAATTAAAGATATAACACCTTCATATTGTTGCAAATCCATAATTAATTTTTATTTTGAATTATTGAAATATTGTATTGTATCGGCACGAAGAGTGTTTCGATTTACCCCAACGTATCTTAGTTGCAGATATTCTTTTACAAACGAGACGAAGTGTTGGTTGTCTGCAATAACCAGAGTCAACTCAGTGGCGACAACAAATTTCACCATTTCGATTCGAGTATTGTCCTCCGAATACACCCACGTTGATAGGGGTGAAGTCGTAGAACGGACGCTTGGACCGACAAATTGCAATTGTGTTTGACCAGCTGGAAGAAGTCCATGTTTGGCCGCACATGCTTTGTAGTAGCGGTTGAGATGGGTGGTACCAATTCCTTTTTGTCATGCCAATCTTTGTTAACAGTATTTACATACTGCTTTAGATTCTGTAAGGCCATCGACAAATTTTTCCGTTGAAATCAACTTAAAGTGATCCCAACATTTTGCTTGTATTTTGCCCTTTCGCTTTTCCCTCACATTTGGGATGTTTAATTCGACATTTTCGTCCTCATGTTCTACTTCGAGAACATTAATATCATCCAAATCAATTGGATTGTGGCTTCCCTGACCGTGAATGTGAACATCTTCAGGTACGGGTATGTCATTTAGACCGAAAAATTCATTTGAAAATTGACTTTGCGGCGTCCTAGGTGATTCACCATGATATGGCCCACATCCCGTATTGAATAAGCTCTCAACAAATGAGCGTTGATCCATTTGTTTGATTGTTTATGATGAAATCCAAATATAATAACTAGAAAAATATAAACGTAGTGAGATTGTGAAAATTGAGAATTTGATGAATTGAAATTCTAACTAATAAACTGTAAAAATTAAATCGATATTGTATATTTTACAGCACAAGAGAGTAAAAATTCGATAATTGATATAATAAAAGAGAGTTGAGACTTGAGAGAGTTGAAGTAGTGATTGAATAATTGATATGAAAAAGAGGGGATTTAAGGGTATTTATAGTAGAAAGGAAAAAAAAATTCAGTGATCGTTTGGTCATTGAAAAAGTGACTGTTTTGGTCACTATAAATAACGAGCCGCTCGTGGGCATCGTCTTCAACTCGGCTCGCTTCCCAATGAGGCCCGCTCGGCTCACGCTCAGACTCGTGATGTTACGAGCTTGAGTCGCCCACGAGCCGAGTGGTCGAGCCGACGAGCGACTCAGCCCTTTTGACATCCCTAGTATAAAGTACTCTAGTAAAGATTTCTTGCAGAGATAAAATCTCAGCACTGGAGAGAATATAGGATTTAGCAGTCTTGAACTAAGAATTAAGACTAACTAAAAAACTCATTACAGCCATTTGCTACCACTGAGTTTGCTGAACTTTCACATCTGGACTAAAGGATGACAAGGTATTCAGTTCTTCGTAGATCTTTTTGAAATTCATAAAATAAGTCCGAAGAGACTGATCTTATTGTTCAAGATGGTAAAAACCCTTACAGACTTCATAAATACGTGACACATTCCCTTTTCCAGAACACATAAATTCCAAATATTCCATTAATTCCTTAATATACTCACAGTGATTCATTAGGTTGACCATCTTCGTGACAATGAAATTATGAATTTGTAAGAATAATCGGGCATCATCACTTAGCCATGTCTGGTGAGTATTATCCATTGGTGGATTTTCAGTAAGATGATTGTCCATAGAAATACTCTGCAGATAAATCCGAATCGTCTTAAACCAATCTAAATAATATGGACCAACCGATTTATGCTCTATGATTTTTGACATCTTGGAGTGACATTAGTCATAACTAAATTCTTCTGCTTATTAGCCATAGATAAAAACCACATGATTCAAATAACAAATCAAAGACGTTGCCAAACCAACAAAAAAGTCTCAAATTTGACAAAAAATAGCCCGAAATAATCAGCTCAAACAACCGAACACACGTGAAACATCCCATTTCAAATAAATAGACCTTAAATAACTCAGTCCACACAAATAATTGGGCCACGGATCACAAATCCACCAGAGACAGGAGCCCAAAGAGAGTCGGTCGATTACCACAGAGACGTCGAAAGCACGAGATGCCGGAGACGTATAGCCCACCGTTCGCCTAAAACGTGGGATGTCAAGGATGTTTTGCATACACTGTTGATGCTAGAGAATCTCAGTCTCCGACTAACAAGAACAGAGTTGTGCTAAAGGCGTCGATCAGAGGTCGATCGACCTAGAATTCTGCAAACAAAAGCTACGAAAAATCAAGAAATCTATTGGCTCAACGAAGTTGTCACCAAAAAAGGAACTTGACGGACCCAAAGGAAAATGAGAAGTGACCTAAATCTTGAACACCTCAACAAGGAATTCAACCAAGAAATTAAAGATTCAGATATTCTATAGGTACAACTCTGATACCATGATAATAAGAGAGAAAAATAATCTTTAAATCTCATTCATAGAAAAGAATACATATATAAATACAGATTGTGAGGCCTACATTATGAAGGTATTCAAAATAAGAATTCCTATAATTAAGTACTAATGCCTGTAATTAAGCTAATTTACATCCTGTAACCAACCATATATATAGACTGTATCAACTACCCCTCCAACTAATTTACTCTAAGTTTTGCCCCCCGAAACATAGCCCAGTGGTGTAAAGGACAAGAGTGAGATTATCTCACACCTTGTGGGCAGCTACAATGTGGGAGTTCGATTTCTGAGACGTGAAATCGGACTCCTTGTAGGTGCAATGTATAGGCAGCTCTTGTTCTCTGACCTGTTGGGGTACATCGCGCGATTTACCTCCCTCACAAAGTTTTAGGGGTGGGACGGTGGGAGCCGTCAAGGTTGGGGTTCAATCTTTAATTTACTCTAATTTTTTTTTTTTTTTTTTGTAGAAAATCAACAATTGTACTATTACATTCAATATGATTTAAATTAAAAATTTTATTAAATAAAATTATTTAAAGTTACAAAAATAATATAAAAAACTTTCAAATGTCTAAAGTAAAATTATTCTAAAGCGCATGATAGAAAACAACAATTATACTATTACAATCAATCAATCTAATTTAATTTTTTTTTTCAATATACACCATGGCCAATTCATTTAATCTTTCTTATGACATTGTTAGATTTATTATATGTTTTATCAATTTCAACTTTGAGAATCTCCAATCGATAGATGCAACTAGCACTAGTATAGTAAATATTATTCTATAAGCAATTCATATATTCGAAAAATACCAGTCCATCATTTTTAATATTTTATAAAGTTTAACACTTCAATCATTTTTTTAGGTTTCTTTAGTAAATATGTCTAATAATTTGTAACTTGGAATATCTCCTACCCATCAATGTCAAAATCCCTATCGGACTTCAAAATCTTTTCAAGCTTATCACACCAAAACTTCAAACAATTATCATTTATAGTCTGCAATTTTATTTATTTTTTAAATCAAACAGAAATCGAAAAATATTATCATATTTTTGAATTCGTTCAAAACTTAAGTAACAGAAATCAAAATAGTTTGATCAACCATATATAAATAATAATCTACTTTAAACATTATTCTGCGAAATGTGTTATATCGTCATTGACATTGTCATCAAATTATTTCTTTCTATGAATACACTTTTAATGAAATATAGGTTCAATTTCCATTTGAGTTGCATTTTCTTCAACCGTAATCATGTGAGATTCAAATCATTTTTATCTATGTCTTTCAAAAATGAAATAAGTGCTCTCAAATTACTAATAGTAGTATCAATAGATATGTCCTCACTTTTTCAAAAGATAAACTTTTTTTAAATACTTTAGGGTCGTCACATGTTTCCACCAAATATTTTAAAGTGACTTTTATTTTTTATGCTTGAAATTTTATTACTTTAACACTTTCAACTTGACCTTCTGATCGTGTTTATAATAGTGGCTTAAGTGTCGACCTTTCACATTTTCCTGAAATAACCCACATTATGCATATATTTCCAGTCAATGTTACTGTCAAAGATGGCAAACATAAGTTAGAAAATTTGTAGAGAGTTGAATTTGGGGTTAATGAAGAGAAAATAAAATAATGCTGAAAGGTCATGTAACAAGCAAAAGAAACGGCAAAGATAGAGATAGACAAAAAAAAAGAAAAAAAGAAAAAAAAGAAAACGTAGGGTCGACCTGAAAACAAGAAGAAAGAAAAAAATAAAACAAAAAGTCATGAATGTATTAAAACTATTTTCAATGCTTTGAAGAATATAATTTTTTTTAAATATTAAATATAGTAAAAAACTTCGGGCCCTCATCAAAATGGGGTTTTAAATGATCGCCTACTCTGTTTATAGTTAAGACGAGCATTGGCACCCACTACAGATACACAATCACTGACATAAATTTTACCCATTTCCTCCATCGATAAAATTTAAATATTTTTTTATAACACTTGTACAAGGTAGATTAACAGATATTTAACTAACCCACAAGAGTTCATCTACTTCAATCAATGTTAATTTCCAATAAGCAAAAACAGTAAAAAATAAGTAAATTAACAATTCAATTCACCCCAACATAAGGCAGTACTATGATCTAATTAGGCAAAAGCCTGCCTCTGATGGAAGTGTAGACTCTAGAATGGTTGATCATTAATTCTTCCATTCAATTTCGAAACTATAGTTATACTTCCCAGAATATTTTATCCAGTAGCGTGGTCTATTCTAGAATCCCGAACGAGAATTTCACGAAACCTACAAATCAGGAAACCATTCAAGGTCTTCGTTTTGGGGGACTAATGGCTGCAAGTTTGTATATGCATATGACGAGGGTTCATCACTGACTTGTGATGCAAGAAACTTATCAAACTGATTATCATACTTTTTCTTCTTATCTCCTATGTCTTCACTGAAGCCTGTAGCATTATGCCCGAAACATTCTTTCTTCGAGGGGCAGTCGAGTTTTGGAAGCTCAACTCGTTGATATGCAGACGACGGAGAATCATCAATGACTTGTGGTGCAAGTAACTTATCAAAGTTCTTCCAATCACTGTATTGATTATCATAATTTCTCTTATCATCTCCTGTATCTTCACTGCAGACTATAGCATTATGCTCAAAACTTTCTTTCGTAGCAGAAATCGAGGGGCTATCGGGTTTTGGAAGCTCGATTCGCTGATACTCGAAACTAGTATGGTTGGATATAATTAGCTGCTGATCTGCAGCAAATGGTGAGGGGTGAGGGGAAGAAATACAGTGAAGGGCAACATGGGTTGTCTCTCCAACTAGCATTTTCAACCATAGAAAGTGCTTTAACAAAAGAACGGTAATCATTTTTCAAATCATTACAGATGATTAAATTTCTTCCAAAAACTGGCCACCCTTATTGAAGGGATACTCTATATTTTGTAACAAGTGAAGCACCTCAGTTTCAAAGTTTAAATTATTTGGACAAGATAAATTTACACACACACACACACATATATATAACAGGGTTACTGCAAAGAGCATTTTCTTTCTATATTTCTTTTATTAACTTATAAGCTGAAATTGTGCCGAATTAATTACCTGAGGGGGTCCATTTTCAGAATTCTGGAGCCTATATTCATGCATGATCCAGTCAGTTCTTCTTCCATTGGGTGCTCGTCCTTTGTAAAATACTAAGGTTTTCCTCATTCCTATAGTTCTGTCCTTTGAAACTACTGCTTTGTCTCTTCCTGTTGCCTTCCAAAAACCAGCAGCAGTGGCTCTATTAGTTCTTGTTCCAGTTGGGTATTTCCTGTCCTTGTGACTGAAAAAATACCATTCAGTTTGCTCTTCATATCCCAATTTGCAACTGCCTGCAAAAAGCCAAATGAGAATATTCATGATCATGTAACCATGTTTGGTTATGCTTAAAAGTGGCTTTATTCAAAAGAAGTTCTAGAATTGAGAGAAATCAAGGATATCTTATCAAAATGCCACGTTAAAGATTTGAAACATATTTTAACTTAATGAAAAAAAAAAAAAAAACAGGTGAAAAAAAATTCAATAGATTTAAAACTTCTTGTTTGGTAAATCAATTGCGAAATATTTTTCTAGAATGGTAAGTATTTGTTCTATACCTTCTAGGCACAAATGTTTAATTTTTATGAAGGTGCCATTCAATTGAATCCAATTCAATTGTTTACTTATTCATCCACTTGAAATTTTAAAAATAGCTATGTTGAACTTGATAATTTCAAGTGAATGAATAAGAACCTTGAGACTTCATTGTTATAAATTAGGTTGTTTAATATTTCGAATTTTGTACAAAATTAATTTGAATTCATGCTTATTTAAAAGTAAGTTTATGACAAATAGTGTATACAAAAAATAAACCTCGTTAATTCGAAAGAGTATTAGAAAACTACGCCATCAAACTCGTTGATTTGCTAGAGTATTGAGAATCTGACCAAAAAAATTGGGAAAAGGCAATTTATTTTCCAATAACCAATTGAGTTTTATTTTAAAAATATATAGAAGAACAGCCCCAGTGAGGTAACTCCGGGATCAGACTCTTAAAATAAAGCTGGAAAATGAAAACCCTACTGAAATAATTCTGAATATTACCAAAAATAAAATATGGACCTGCCCATAAATTAATTGTGTATTAGACCCACAAAAGAATGGGATTTTCCCAGATCAGAGATCATGAAATTTGCTCAACGTGTCTGCTTGAGAAAAGAAGGATCCTTTGCTCAAATTTAAGGCTAAACTAGCTAGAATTTGCTTAGAGTTCCTAAACACCATCATTTATCATTTTTAATCTGTACTATCATGCAAATCAATATGTACCTTGGATGTCCCAGGGCTCCATTCTGTAGAGATCAATTTCAATTATGACATCAAGATCAATTTTCTGGAAATTAATCTTTCTCTTGAGGTAATAACCCACAAGTTCCTCTTCTGTAGGTTGAAATCGAAAACCAGGAGGGACACATGAATCCATTTCCATTCTTGAACTTTCCCTGGAAAAGAAATCAGATTATCATGTTAGGGAGAGCATGGTTGAAGGAAGATGAGACAATACTCGATAGTGAACAAATTTTTGACTTATTCTTTCTTGATACTCAATCTGGAACAGAATGGAGAATATTAGAGAAAGCAGGTCACTAAGGAAGATCTAAATATATATAAGATGGTATACAATTAATCAGCACAATTTGTAACATCAAAAAGCTACTTTTGGAAGACCGTGCTGTGTAGATGAAATTAAGAAATAAAAAAACTCATAAAAAGAGTAAAATTCACTCAAACCTGTCTTGTGAATTTGTCATAATTTCATTCAGATCCATTCGTGAGCACAAAAGAATATGGTATGATGAGGTCTTTTGTCCCAAATTTAACTGTGTTATTTAAGGAAAAATGGCAGACCGAAGGTGGTTGTCCACTCGTAGAGAATGATTCTTGAAACATAGGCCGGCCAATCTGCTTGTTTGCATGTTGTAATTAGACAAAGTATATTAAACACAAAAAAGTGGCTGTATAAATTTGACCTTTGTAGACATTAGGCATGTTTTATTTCTCTTTGAGTACATTCCACTCCACGCCTCATGGTGTAAAAGATTTTTTCACACCCACTTGTTATCACAACATATTCAGATAAAAATTTCATATTGAATAAAGATAAAAACATAAGCCAACTTATAAGGGGTTGTGTTACTCCTCTTATTAAGATTAACTTTTTAAGGTGTATCATCAAATCTTAGGGGGGTGTTTGAGCCACATTATTTTGGTAATAATACATTATTGAATAGTGTATTGATGGAAAAAGTGTGGTTAAAAGATAAGAAAAAGTGTTTGATCTGCGTGTAATATTATTTTCTTGAAGATTGTGTGGTTAAAATTATGTCAAATCACTGTTTAAGAATGTATTTTTTTGGAATAATGTGACTCAAACATGCTCTAATATGATACAGACCCCATTAAATTTCAATGAGCGATTCGATCCGATTAAAACTCAAAAAATAAGTAAAAAAATTTCAAGATTGACATATTCAAATGAGTTACTATTTTGCAAGGATACATTAAAGGATAAAAATCTCACATTAAATAAATATGAAAATATAGATCAATTTATAAGTGCTTAAATTACTCCTCTTAAAAAAGTTAAGACTTTTTAAAATGAATCCCCACATCTTAATACATACAACATTCCTTGTACTCGTGTACTAAACAAAAGCTTAGAGACTCTATTCACACGAGTGCGTGCGCGAAAATACTTGCATAGACAAAAACTCACAAGTGATCAAGAACAACGCATGCAGGTTGGCCAGACAATATGCAGTTTTGGGTCGATGAATTTACTCATCTAAAAAGTTTAAAAAGTTGTTAGATATGAAACAAATTCATTTATTTAAATTGTATCTTTATATCTTCAAATTTTCATGAAAAAGGACACAAGAAAATACTAACCAGAAAGTTCAACCTTCTGGTGTTCTTTAACTGCTCGTCCTGCTAGAGAGAGAGATTTGCCGGGATTGTGGAAAGTTGGTTTGGTAAGATGCAAGGAAATTTATATGATAAGCTGGTGTGTACAGAACTTTGAATACGACAACATTAGGATAATTTTTCCATTTCCATTTTTATACTATATGTTGCAAATAAGAGAGATAAAAGGGACATATATACACATTATTATCGACTGTGAGTGGGAGGTGACAGCAGATTGGATCAAACATTTTGTTTGGACGGCGTGGCACCAAGTTTTTACGCCAACCCTCCACCGTTATTCCCCCTAAGGTTTTCCCAAGAATATTTATCTAAAAATTTATATTTCAGAGCATAAATTTATTATTTTGAGTTTTGAATTAATGCAACAGACCAGAAATTTTGATTGAGCGATGGTAAAACTAGAATTCGCCCATTTATCTACTATAAATATGATGCTGGGTTGAAGCAGTATAGTTGAACAATTTGTTGATAAAAACTTTTCAAATTTCCCCATTTGATCTCGACATGCCCGATTTAGTATTTAAGCTACATTTTGCTTCCTCACTAATTAAGTTGGCAGTCGATATACTTAAAAATTTAAAACAAGATATGCTTTCACTAGGGTCATGTGAAAGTTAGAAAATAAATAAATAAAAATTAGACGGTTATTGTCATTAGGATTAATTTCACAACTTCAGTAAAAGGTTGTGGACTAACTCGTTCTCCTTTTAAGGAAGGGACGAATTTGATGATGGAGCAATAAGCTGGGGAGAAATGTTGAAAATTTCCCTTTCCATCCTTAACAAAATTAGCTTGTCCATTTTTGTCATTGCCATTTACATTATGCATTTTCTGTTCCACGATCCAGCTTTGTTGCTGTTTGGTGCGCCTCACAGTGACAAGTGGCCAATCAACAGGCTTCCTCGTTCACAAAAGCATACCGTTTATTTGCGTGAAATTGAAACATAATTTGACTTACCGAAATAGAATTTGAGAAGCAAAACGATAATAGTTACCGAATCCGAATGCATGAATATGGATTAGGGCAGAATACTCTTAATAGGAGGTCACCTATGTGAGTGTGAAGTGGGGCCGCTTCAATAAGAATTATTCGGGATTTAAATTCTCTAAACACTCAAAGAATCAAGAAGGGTTTAGAGCCAAAATGAACCAAGTCATGAGAACCATGAACGGTTTAGGGAAGACATTGTGTGAGTATCGTTGTCTTGGCTTACACTAAAGGCTGAATGGATCAAGACATCACGTTCACCAATTAGCCGAGTAAGTCCGATGATATTTCACCAAGGGAGGTTCAAGACCAGAAGCTACCATCCTTGATGCAGAGTTTTTCTGCTCTCTCTACTAGTGTCTGCATAGATATTTGCATTAATTTTTATTCATGTGGGGTTATCGTAAGTATTTGATAACTTATATGAAAAGTTCAAGATATGTGGGTGTAATAGTAAAACTACGACTTGCATATATATTCATAATTTAGGAATTGTGGGGGTAATTTAATTTGTTTATAGTTACAATTTCCTATACCTATCAAGAAATAGGAGAGACTCTATATGAATTATGAAAAAGTCATCTCCGTTCTACCAATACTTAAAAGTGTAGGGGTGTTTGGCAAAAGCTGAAGTTCCTAAGTTTAAACAAATAAAGAATGGTCCCAAAAATGATTAATTGGATATTTATTGGATACACTAATAATAATAGTGCATATCGTTTCTTTGCACACAAATTAGATGTACACGAGGGTACTATAATGGAATCAAGGAATGCGATATTTTTTGAAAAAAGTGTTTCCTTACAAAGATAAGGAAAATGTAAGTTTAAATAAGAGAACTTATGAAACTACAAATGGATCTTCAAATGAGAAAGAACCAAGGCGTAGTAAGAGAGCTAGAAAGAAGGACTTGACTTCTTTAATACCTACTCACCCATGACTAGAATCACTTCAACAAGGTTACTAATTGCTACTGTGGCAATACATAACCTTGAGATTCATCAAATGGATGTGAAAATGACATTCCTTAATGTTGAGTTAGAAGATGAGGTATATATAGAGCAAGTGTCTCCAAGTAAAAGCCATAAGGTTTGTAATCTTCTCAAGTCCTTGTATGCTCCTAAGCAATGAGACCAAAATTCGACAAAACAATTTCGTTAAACGAATTCAAAATAAACGAATGTAACAAGTGTGTATACGTGAAAAATACACCAAATGCCTATGTGATTATGTGTCTATATATAGACGATATGTTGATAATGGGCAATAATCACGAAACGATTGCGAAACATCAAGAAAATGCTAACGAAGTATTTCGACATGAAAGGCATGGGTGTGGCAGATATAATACCAGGGATAAAGATCTCTAAAACATTGAAGGAATTGTACTTCCCCAATCTCTTTATGTTGAGAAAATACTCAAAAAATTTGAAGTATTTGAGAAAAGTCTCGCGAAAACTCCTATTGACACAAGTCTACACTTTGTCGAGAATAAAGGTGAAAGCGTGTCACAACTAAGGTATTCACAAGTGATTGTCAGTGTAATGTATATTAAAAACTGTACTTGACCAGATATTACTTAGTAGATTCACGAGTAATCCAGGCCATGATCACAATCATTGGGTGGCATTGACAAAGGTCCTTAGGTATTTGAAGAATACTATGACCCATGAATTATATTTCACAAGATATCATATGGTATTCGAAGGATATTGTGATGTTAATTGAATATCCAACATGAAGGATTCCTGGTCCACAAGAGGTTATGTTATCTCATGGAAATCGTCAAAGCAAATGTGTATTGCTCGATCATCTATGGAATCTGAGTTTATTGCTTTGGATAAAGTCGAAGAATAAGTAGAATGGCTTCGAAGATGTTTCATAAGTATACACTGTGATAGTCACTCCGCTACTAAAAGGGCTAGAAGAAGCAAGAACAATTGAAATATTTAAAGAATATTCACAAAGTTCAAATACATTGTGATAATTCAATATTGGAAATTGAACGCCCTTCAACTAAAAGAAATGACCGACTAGTGTAATAATAAGAAATTCTCCAATCGTGTTTGAAAGTTGATAAAAGCTTTAGATAAAGCTAATGAGAAGCATGTAGTTTCGTGAGAGAATTTCTTGGTGGTGACAATGTGTATCTATTAAATAAATCGATCGTTGGCTAGCCATATTTGATAAAATACTATGTCACATGTAATAATAGGTCTAGACGTATAAGTTAAGCAGATGATCTCAGTAGTGTAAACTCGTGGTATCTTTAAGAGATTTACTAAGGAAGATCAAGAATACTGCATATTGAAGGGAATGAGTTAAAGCATACTACGTTAGAGTCCTTACAATGGTAACCCTACCTTGTTGACTGGAAATCCCAAGATCTTGATTTAAAGTGACAACTAAATAGTGAGGATTCCATGATGCACTTAGGAAATCAAATTTCCTAACTCATTCCTATGATGCGAAAGTACTTTCTGCAGAGTGGTTAAATGTTAAGTTAATCTTTTAATGATTCCTATATTTTGATTAAAGTCAAGTGGAGTAGGACAGAATACTCTTAATAGGAGGTCCCTTATGTAAGTGTGAAGTGGGGCTGCTTAAATAAGAATTATTTGAGGCTTGAATAAATAGAACGTCATAAGTATACACTGTGATAGTCAATCCGCTAATAAAAGGGCTAGAAGAAGCAAGACCTCTAAAGAATATTCATAAAGTTCAAGTACATTGTGATAATTCAATATTGGAAATTGAATGCCCTTCAACGAAAAGAAATGATTGACTAGTGTAATGATAAGAAATCATCCAATTGTGTTTGAAAGTTGATAAAAGCTTTAGATAAAGCTAATGAGAAGCATTTAGCTTCGTGAGAGGATCTCTTGGTGATGACAATATGTATCTATTAAATAAATCGATCATTGGCTAGCTATATTCGATAAGATACTAAGTCGCATAAAATAATAAATCTAGAC